CTAGTCTGTTAAGGATGGCCTCTTTGATAATCTTTTCCAAGACCTTCCCCAGGATAGAGGTCAGGGTGATGGGTCTGTAGTGTGCCAGATCTACCTTCGTTCCTTTCTTGAAGATAGGCACCACGTTGGCCTTCTTCCAGTCTTCGGGCACTTCACCAGAATGCCAGGTGTTCTCAAAGATCTGTGCCGGGGCTGAGCTACAATGCTTGCCATCTCCTTGAGTAACCTTGGGTGTAAACCATCAAGGCTGGCTGACTTGAAGGTATCCAGCCTCTCAAGGTGTTCCTTCACAAGGTCAGCTTTGATGGAGGGTAAGGAGTCTCCCTCCCCTGGGCCTCCCTGACTCACAGTGGGTAGCGGGGTCCCATGGGACTGGTGAAAAACTGACACAAAGTACCCATTAAGCAAGTTTGCTTTTTCATGGGTGTCAGTTGTCCCATCTGGTTTAGTAGGGGTCCAATGTTGCCCTTGCTTTTCCTCCAGCTCACCACATATCTAAAAAGGACTCTTTATTGTCCTTGATATTTGTAGCTAGCTGGAGTTGCATCACAGCCTTGGCTTCCTTAGTTTGCTCTCTGCAGGTCTGCTGTCCCAGACGCCTTCCTGGTTTAAGTTAAACCAGCATCCCCCATTATGTCAGATGTTTTGCAGCCCTGGGCTGTGCTGTCTCATCCAGAGAACAGGGCTGGCCTTATCCTTCTGTTCCCTAGCCAGAGCTCTAAAGGAGACTGCAGGTAAAGCAGGGTCTGCCTGGCTCCCCTTGACTTTCCTCCCCCTCCCTCTCCCCCTCCTTTTGCTGTTTGCCTGCTAGGGAGTGGCCATGCTCCCCCTCAGCTCAGCACTCTGGAAGGGAAGGGAGGGCTGGTCTAGCACCCCCTGGCTTATAGCCTGAGTCACTGCAGGCATGTGCCTGCATTTCCTCAGTCCAGAGGGAATGTCTGCAGAGTTGCAAACTGGTTCAACCTAGGCAGGTTAGACTAACATGCAAAGATTGAATCAATTCAGGCTCAGGCTTTTTGAATGCCTGTCCTTAGCCCAGTGGTCTCTTCCAATCTTACTTTTTAGTGATTCCATGATTCTATGAAATACTTGTATGCTAGCCTCTAATCAAAGTGTTTGTCTTTTAGCTATCATTTACAGATTACTTAGTTGAATTTTATAAAATTAAAGTTATCTAATGTTGCATCTATTTTATCTTTATGGGTTGATTCTTGATTGCCTTCAAAAAGGCTCTCATCTACACTGCTTTTATGTTTTTTAGCAAGTGTTAATTAATCAAGCTTCAGAGTTTGGTCAGTAGGTCTATTTTACAGATATTAATTGAGTCACTGAAAGTTTATGAGACTTTACCTAAGGTCATATTGTAAATTGTTGGAGGGGGAAACAAATGTTGAGCATTGATTCCCTTTGTTTCTGAATGATAGCTTGATTCTGCAACTGTTATTTTACTATTTCTGTATGTTACTGAAGGTTGCACAGTCATATCCTGAACTTCTAGATAATATTTCACAATTGTGATAAGCACATTGTGGTTGTTAAGTGTCCCTGGAAAGGGGTTTTACTAGATCAGATTGTTGTTAATTCACCTGTAGAGATGCATGGAGATTCATGTCATCCTTTATTGTGGATTCATTTTTTGTAAATATTAGATGAAAATATTTAAATTTTTTTGTAAAAGAAATTAAACAGATAAAGTTATGTGGCATAGTAATGTTTTGAATCTGATCTCATTTTTGGTAATCAGCACTGTACCTCAGAAAGGAAAAAAAAGGTCAAAAGTAGTATGGAAGTTAAGTGGGCCATGAAAAGATTAATTTGGAGAGTGCTTATCCTAATTCGTTTTGGCCTAAAAACCCTTATTTGTAGTAATATCATCTGATATTATTCTTGTTTCTTTTTTTCTTTCTTTGGAAGTGCTTTGAGAAAGCAGTGCTATCTAAGTTTCTTTTTTAAAAGCCACTGTTGTTCGCAGCTATAAGAAGGGGGCTAATCTGATTCTGAATCAAGGTATGTGAAGGATAAAAAAAGAAATTCAGCTGTTATTCCCTGCTAAAAGAGTAGTAAATAATTTTCTAGTTAGAAGAATTAATGTATTCAAAATTACTACAACCATAAGAAAATTACCAGTTTGTTATGCTGTTCATATCCCAGTAAAGGAAGAGTTTGTATTTGACTGTTGATGCACTTATATGCTCAGAATTATATACAATCATTAGGGATCTCCAGATTTGCTCTGGAAGCGCATGGCATGGTGGCTTCTTTAATTTTGGAGTTTCCTCTGTGCACTCCCTGCTGCTAATTGATGGAGGAGCTCTGTTGCTTGCTGCCTGTGTCTGATACTTGGGAGGCAAAAACCATGGTTTTAAATATGCTGTGTTTTTTGCCTCTTGGCTGTCAGGCGCAGGTGGTGAGCAGCGAGCGACAGGGCATCTCCACCCCTTGTGGCAGAGGGGCACATGGGGGAAACTCCAGAATTAAAGAAGCCGCCAAACTGTGCACTTCCAGATTTGAATTCTGGAGATCCTTAACAATCATCCACTAATAATGGTGGATGCCAGTAAGGGTAGTGAATAAGAGATAAATTACTCTATATATTTCTGGTTCAGTGCTCTCGCTCTAAATCACCCTCCCCTGCCATTGTTGGAAGCAGGATACTAGGCTAAATGGACCATTGATCTGACCAAGTATAGCACTTCTTATGTTCTACATATCCAAAAACATGCGTATACTTCAGAGCAAGGGGTGGGTTGAATTTAGGGAAAGCTCTGTTGTATTCTAATCTCAAGAGTAACTTGGATCACATTGATATTGCATCAGAACAATGTTTTATAGTCTCTGCCAATTTAAAAATCAAATTGCTGTTAGACCTTATAGAACAACACATTTGACTGACAGGAATGGCTGTTATAGATGGATGTGATGTTTTCTCTCTGTATAACAAGGTTTTTGACTGACAGTTTAACAATGGTACAATTTCTATCCCATATATTCTAAATGATTATTATTGCAGTACAAAACATTTTTGCACTAGCTGTGTATAGATAACATGTATACTTTTTGTGTAGTAACATTCAAGAAGATGGGTTTTTGAAATCTTAGAGATGGTAACAATTAATGAACGCTTATCTCTCACTTATAACCAATGTCAAGCATTGCTATTGTGGTACATGGTGATGTGGAAAACATTCAGTACTTATCTCCCAATGGAGGATCAGCACAACTCCTTGACACATGCTACACACAGGATGAAATAAATCTCTTTTAAGAAATATTTCTATCACTCTCCAACCAAAGGGTACTTTTGCCTCCTTGTAATCCCTTTCTCAATGATGCATTTCTCTGTATCACTTTAAATTCAATTTTAATTTGAAAAGTGACTATGTAAAAGTGGTGCCCCTTTTATGTAACAGAAGTGCTCCCTATGTTGCATCCCAAGGTGTAAGGTTTTTCATTTGAAGCATAGCTGGAGAAGTGGAAAATAATCTTTTGTTCTTTTTCATTTCTTATTCCTTTGCCTAATAGGCATCTCTTCCCTAGATTATTCACTATGGCCTCTGGCAGATGTTCAGGTAAAGGCCTAATGAGATCTGATGCGCATTCCCAACAATTGCACCTCCTGTCATGCTACTTGTGCACAGCAGGAAGCATGACTGTGGGATCAGGGAGCAGATCACAGTCACTCCCTATTGCCAGTGCAGCAGAAAGTATACATGTACATTAATAAGAACCCTGCCTGTATTTAAGATTATTAGGCTCTTCTAATTAGAAGATCCCTCCCATGACATGGGCCTATGCCATAAAGACTGCTGCACCACAGAAACAGCCTGTGTACAGATGTGCCATCCCGCCCCCTCACCTCCCATCATGTACCCACTGCTGTGCACATGCTGCAGGGGTTCCCATATCTGCTCCCTCCCAGCCCTGCGTGGAAGCTGGAGAAAGGACGGAGAGCCTGGTGGCAGCAACAAAAAGCAAAGGAGGGAGTGCTGCCCAGACCAGGAGGCCAGGGGCCTCAGCGTAAATCCTCAGTTTAGGCTTAAATGTCAGTTGGACAACTTGGTTTTACACTTCAAGACTTTCCAGAGTGAGTTGGGATGGACGCTGTCAGATTCTTTTTATGAATGTTGGGAAGTTTCAGATGAGCAGTTTTTGCTGTTTTTAATTCCCCTTGATTATGTGCAGAGAAAAAAACTGGTTGTTACATGGTCTTTTAGGTAGGAATCCGGCCAACTCTTCCCTGAGCTTTTTTGCTCACCTATGGCCTTTATTTTAAATAAAAAGATGTTGCAGAGGACTCTACCTATCACTGAATGGACTGTAACATCTTGATAGCTCTTACCATTTCTTAGGTCACTTTTTCTGGCATTTTGCTTCTTAATGCCATTTTCCTGTTGTTCCAGAGGATTTGCCTGGCTTTATGCTTTGAAGAGTTCAGTGACTTTTTTTTTTTTTTAAATAATAATCACATCACTGCAAGCTTTCAACATGTCCTCAGTGACTGTCTTCAACTGTAGATTTACCATTTTTCTTGGTGATATGAGCTATTTAATACTGGGGGTTTTATTTCTCTATCATATTCAGTAAAGTCTTGTGGCATTGGTCTATTTAATACTTCTTGACAGTTTCTACCTATTTCTCTCTCTCTGCTTTTTCTGTTATTAGTCTCTCTCTTACCTTTGGATGTCTACACTACAGGGCTGTTGCCAGCACTATGACTGTTGGGCTTATCCTAGTGAGGTTGCAGCACTGTTGGCTGGGGGAGTTTTTCTCTAGTAAGAGCTATACACCTCAATTCCCTTGACCAACAGAAACTGTCTTCTGTTGGTGAAAGCAGGTCCATGCTGGCATATTTACCTGCCGAACTTTATTGATTATAGGGTACAATATTTTAAACCCATAATTGATGTAACTTTACTAGACCTTTACAGGTAGGGGTATACTGAAATGGTGACTTCACAGTTTTCACGGAAAGTGCAAAATCAGGCATTTTCCATGATAATCGGAGAAATCTGAAAAAAAAGGATCCCTGCAAAAAGGCTCCCTGGGCAGTAGCCAAGATGGCTGCTGCCTTCCTTGCCCCCCAATGCTGCTGATTGGGCAAGGGGACTGCGCTCATGCAATCTCTCAGCCCTGCAGCCCAGGCAGACAAGGACAGGCCCAGCCCTGTTTTTTTAAATTTGCAGCTATAGCTGCCCAGCCTGGCTGGGCCTATTCCAAAGTTAAGTGGGTACTGCGGAGGATGGGGCCAGGGGTAGCATGGCTGGGCCCAGGGGGGCAGTATGTCTGGGTCATGGCAG